TTTCACCATGTTGACCAGGATGGTCTCGATCTCTTGACCTCGTGATCCACCCGCCTCGGCCTCCCAAAGTGCTGGGATTACAGGCTTGAGCCACCGCGCCCGGCTTGAATTTTTTTTTTTTTTTATTTGTGTCAGAGTCTTGCACTGTTGCGCAGGCTTGAGTGCAATGGCATGATCTTGGCTCACTGCAACCTCCGCCTCCCAGGTTCAAGCAATTCTCCTGCCTCAGCCTCCCAGGTAGCTGGGATTACAGGCGCCCGCCACCATGCCTGGCTAATTTTTTGTGTTTTTAGTAGAGCCTGTTTCCCTATGTTGGCCAGGTTGGTCTCGAACTCCTGATCTTGTGCTCCGCCCGCCTTCGCCTCCCAAAGTGCTGGGATTACAGGTGTGAGCCACTGGGCACAGCCTGAAATCCATCCATTTGTCTCTTTTTGAGGCCGTCCTTATCTCTGCTTTCTACACCTGTAAACGACGATAGCCTCCCATATCCATTCTTGCCTTCCTGTAATCCATCTACCACACAGCTGCCATAGAGGTCACTTTAAGACAGAAGAGTGATGTGTCACTCGCTACCCTAAAGCCCTTCGTAGGCTCCCCCTTGCAATACAGTCCAAAACACCCTGATATAGCCTACAAGTCCTGTAGGCCCCAGCCCCTACCCACACTTCCATCTGTGCCCATCACTGAGCTGCAGCTTCCAAGGCTAACTCTTAAGCCCCTCTAACTCCCTGTTGACTTCAGGACTTTTGTCCATCCACTAGTTCCCTCTGCCTCTTCCAACTGCTGCCTGTATTTTACTGAACCTTCAGGGCTCAGCTAGAGGGTCATTGACTCCAGAACTGTCTCTTCTCCAGGCAAGTTGGATCCCAGCCCTCTATTTTTTATTTTCTTTGCAGAGCACTTAGCATAATTGCCACTAAGCTATTTTTGTTATCGTGTTTCATTTTGTCTTCTCCACTGGTCTGATTAAATCAAGGACTCCACCTCTTCCCTGCTAAATCCTTGGCATATGACATAGTGGACACTTAGTAAACGTTTGTAATAAATGATGTTCCAAATACTAAGGTTCGTTTTATGTTGATACCTATTGGTAACCTTTAAAATACTTGAATACTTGCTGTGTTCTACGTTTGTTTAACCATAATTGCTCATTTCTCTGTTTCTCATTAGGAAAAATACCTGGAAGCAATCAAAATATTTTCTGGTCCATTGAAAGGAATAGAACTGGGTACGTCTTTGTCTGTGACTCATTATCTGCTATTTCTTACTCATATATGCCCTGACTTTTCAAATTAGAATCCATTAAAAACATCAAAATGAAACCTCAAAATCAAATGCTTCATCACCATGAAATGGTGCTGGTGTTTTGTTTTTGTTTTTTTGACAGAGTCTTATCTCTGTCACCAGGCTGGAGTGCAGTGGCACAATCTCGGCTCACTGTAACCTTCACCTCCCTGGTTCAAGCGATACTCCTGCCGTAGCCTCCGAAGTACCTGGGACTACAGGCACACGCCACCACACCCAGCTAACTTTTTGTGTTTTTAGTAGAGATGGGGTTTCACCATGTTGGCCAGAATGGTCTCAATCTCTTGACCTCATGATCCACCCACTTTTGCCTCCCAGAGTGCTGGGATTACAGGCATGAGCCACCTCGCCTGGCCAGACATGGGTTTTTTAAAATACCGCCTGTTGACATTTTCTGTGCTTCCACCTCAATGCTGCAAAAATAGGGACCACATAGGCAGGAGTAATTGAACAGCTGATCCATGCCTGTATACGTGCTGTGAGCATTCTCGATTTAGACAGGGCGCCTGCCTCAGTTCTAGAGGTGCTGCTCGGTGTTGCTTTGAATTTCCTGTAACCAGGGGACAGGGTGGTGGGTGCGATGAGGGGCTCTTAAAGGTTTTGTGGCCAACTTTGTACATTGAACCACAGCTCTAGCTGTGCACGGAGGCTTACGGCCTCTTGATGGGAAGAGGCCTCACTGAGGATGCTAGTAGGGCCTCTTCCCGGCACTGGTGTGCATTTGTGAATTGTTAATACTCCTCTTTTATAGAAACGCTATTATTTTGTTTCAAAATAGTTGAGATGATAGGTTCTCTGGCTTCATAATTCTTTTTGTTAACTTGGACCTCTGAAAGTTGAGTTCTAGTTTCTTGTTTTTAAATATATATATATTTTGAGATGGAGTCTTGCTCTGTTGCCCAGGCTGGTGAGCAGTGGAGTGATCTTGGCTCGCTTGCAACTTCCACCTCCCAGGTTCAAGTGATTCTTCTGCCTTAGCCTCCTGAGTAGCTGGGACTACAGGCCCCCACCACCTAATAGCACCACCCTGGCTAATTTTTGTATATTTTAGTAGAGATGGGATTTCATCATTTTGGCCAGGCTGGTCTCGAACCCTTGACACTTGCAATCTGCCCACATTGGCTTCCCAAGGTGCTGGGATTATAGGCGTTGAGCCACCGTGCCCAACCTTGTTTTTAAATTTTTAATTGATAGTCACCAATGATTATCATGTCCTTTCATCTGGCGGTAGTAAATATAAATGGCTGACAAAAATACACTTTTATTTATTTCCTAAAAATTGTAATCTCCTTAGACAGTCTGGTTTTTTGTGTCAGATTCCCACCGTAAGACTGAGGCAGTTCACTGCAGGCAATTCCTGCTTGGTGATAGTGAAAGTTAGTCTTTCCACATGTCTTCACTCATGCAGTCACTTTGCTGTTGTGTGGTTTTCTTGCAGCTGTTCGGCCCCACTCTGCCCCAGAATACAAGGATGAGACTATGACAGTTTACCAGGTCCCCATATACGGTGAGTATGAAAGCCAGATGTTCCAGGAGGCGGGTGTAGGTCCTGAGCAGAGAGAACATGGGTGATAATAGAAATGGAACATTTGCTTCAGGCACCCTGGTTTGTGTTCTGAGCGTGATTAGAAAATTCAGTTGAGGAATTAAGATATGGTTCCTGCCCTTAAGGAGCTTATAGTCGTATGGATAAGCATCTCTAACTCACGCCTAATGATAGCGATTATGCTTTGGAATATTATGTCATCAAACACTGTCAGGAAATAGATTGTGTTCCAGTTTGCACATTCATTGCTTGGAAGTTTTTTCCCCTCAGGCATAAGTACCTTCTTTTAATGACAGGATTGTGAAGAGGTTTGCACAGATAGACTTTTTAAAATAAATAATGATAACAGAAACCCAAAATATGTGTTGTTAGGGGGTTAGAAGCTCCTACAAACTCTGAAGTACCAGGGCCAGATGATGTGGTCTTCGCTTAAGAAGAGTCAGTCTTGTCCTGAGCGTGGCTAAAGACATTCCGTGTCCGATTTTACTTACATGTGAAGAGAATACCAAGCAGTAGGGGTATTTCCTTGATAGTGCTAACTAATGTGATGCTTACCAAGTGCTGATGGATAACAGACCAGAGCACCCAACAAAGGCCAGAGAAGTCCAGAACCTGGTGAGGAGATGAGGTTTATGCAGACTGTGGGCAGGAGGTAGCAGGGAGGGGAGGAATGTGCTGGAGCAGTGGCACAAGTGCTCATAGGCCACTGCTGTGACGGTCTGAGCAGCACTCCCGTGGCCTGGCTTGCTCCTCCTGCCCACATCTCACATGTCTTCTCTCACCTGAGCCCTGCTGTAGCCATGCGCAGCCTGAGTTATTCCCTCTGTTGTCCATTTCTAGCACCCTGTTCTTCGCTCCATTGCATATAATAGTTCACTTTCATGTGTTGTTTGTGCAATCGCTGTTAACATGCTCAATTTTGCTGATCATTATTTTTTCAGTGCCCAATGGCCCTAAATGAATGAACATATGTTCGTTGTCGTTATAGCTGTGCTTTAGCTTCTTAGAGCAGCACATTTTTTACCCTTGATCTTGAGCCTTAACTAAATGTAAAATGATGCTCCTTCTCCTAGAGATAGGTACCCTTTGGGCGTATTTTTTTTAGTGGGATTGATGATAATAAATATGCATGGCGACAACCCACATTGTTTGGATAACACATTGTTGCGTTGGTACTGTTGGCAAGGCTGTGAGCTAAGCAGAAACAAAAAGATGAACAGGACATAAATGCAGCCCAAAAACCAGGTAGAAAGGTATCTAGTTATTTCTTACTGTCTAGTAAAATGTGTGCTGATTTAATTGGCATTCTGGCATTCCCATGTATGAACATCTGGACTTTGGCTGTGAGCTCACCTTGTGCAGTGTGTAATTTGGTGGTGTCTGTCTTGACCAGGTGAACCGAGGAGTGGGGAGCACCAACCATGGCAGAGTCCAGAAAGGCCTCTGGGCAGGCTCAGTCCAGAGCGATCTTCAGACTCCGGGTCCAGTGAAAATGAGCAGCTCCTTCCACATGGTAATAGTATAATCAAAACAGAGCAGCGGAAAGCCTTGCGTTTTCTTAATTCTCTGCCTCATCATGCTTGAAGAGAAATCATTCTTATACAAAAACCGTGTGTGTAAAACAGATACTTCCTCCTGGGCTCATTATAACTTGGCCCGTGGGGAGAATGAGAAGGGTTGTTGTAAAGGTGGCAGCCTGGAGCTTTAATAACGACCAGTCCAGGGCCTGGGTATGCCCAAAACTGTGTTCTGTTTTCCCAGAGGAGAACAGGGCCTGACACACTGATTCATTTTGTATTTTTCATTTGTATGTTTCATCAGTGTAACATTCATGCAAATTTTTCATTAACGTGGAAACCAGAACTGCTAAGCCAGTGAGATAGTCACATCAATGAGAGGATCTGCATCTCTTCTTCCAGAATGACAGTGCACTCGGAAACGGAGTTAAAAGTCCAGGATTAGATGTAGCTCAGGAGTTGGGCTGCTTCCGCAGTTTGTTGTTCTTAGCAGAAGGCCAGCGTCAGTAAAGCTCGGCAGCTCCTCTTTCTGTCCCGAGGTCGTGTCTCGTGTCTAGTGACCGAGAACAGGCCGACCCTATATGCTGTCCTCATTTGGGTGGCACCGGGTGAAGACTGACACCAGCATTTCCTCTGCAGGCCTTTGAATTTTTGTGTTATTTCATATATTCTAGTATGTGTTATAAAGCACACATTACAATTTTTATTTTCTCTCTCCTCTCCAGTCCTAGGTGAAGTGTGTCATTTAAAAAAAATTTTGCCAAAGTTTTTCTGGTTAGAGTTTCGTGTTTTTTATTTACCCAAACACATCTCCAATATAAATAGGGGAAAAAAAACATCATCTTGAGTTATTAGTGCCTTCAACCTCTGTACTGGGACAGCAGCGTCCATTTAATTTTTATGTGAAGTGAAATTAGGCACGGGGTCATACTCGGTTTGCGATGTCTTGACAACTTTCACATTTACCTTGTTATGATCAAATGTGTTTTTCCTCAGGTGTTAGCCGGAGAAGAGGGGGCAGGGATCCTTCCCTGGTTGTAGCTTTCATCTGTAAGGTAAGGGAGCCTTTCCGGAGGGCTGTATGTGACTGGGGGCTTGGCCAGCAACCTTTGGTTTGCACTTATTTAATAATTTAAGGGTAGCAGCTCCTGTTAGCCGAACCAAGAAGAGATAGCAGATCTTCAAATATGAATCAATAGAAATGATCCTGGCCACGAGCCTGCAATGAGTGTTACTACTGACCTTTCATAACTGTCATGATTTGCAGGTTTCAGAGTTTAGATGCTCTGTTTCTCAAAATAACCCCATACTTTTATTTCCCTTTAAATTCTTTTCCAGTGCCCTGTCAGCTTCCGTATATATTCTTTCTTTTTTCTTTTGTAGAGACAGGGTCTCGCTCTGTCACTTGGGATGTGGTGTGCAGTGGTGTGATCCCAGCTCACTGCAACCCCCACCTCCCAGGTTCAAACAGCCCTCCCACCCCAGCCTTCCGAGTAGCTGGGATTATAGGCATGCAACACCCATGCCTGGTTAATTTTTTTTTTTTTTTTTTTTTTTTTTTTNTTTTTTTTGTATTTTTAGTAGAGACAGCGTTTTGCCATGTTGGCCAGGCTGGTCTGGAACTCCTGACCTCAGTTGATCCACTTGCCTTGGCCTCCCATAAGTGCTGGGATACAGGCATGAGACATCGCACCTGGCCTGTATTCTTTTATATTTGCCAACAATTGATCCTTTTAGAATTCAGAATTTATTTTTATTTTATTTATTTATTTATTTAGAGATGGACTTTTGCTCTTGTTGCCCAGGCTGGGGTGCAGTGGTGCAATCTTGGCTCACCACAACCTCTGCTTCCTGGTTCAGGCGATTCTCCTGTCTCGGCCTCTTGAGTAGCTGGGATTACAGATGCCCGCCACTATTCCTGGCTAATTTTTGGTATGTAGAGACTGGGTTTCAGCATGTTGGCCAGACTGGTCTCGAACTCCTGACCTCAGGTGATCTGCCCATCTCAGCGTCCCATAGTGCTCGGATTACAGGTGAGAGCCACCGAGCCCGGCCGAATTCAGAAATTATTGAAGGCATCTGTGTTTGTTTTCCATCAACTCCATCAGGCCTTTATTCAAAGTCTTTTAACTCTGTTTTATTTCCCTGCAATAGTTAAAAGTCTAACAGCAGATTGCTTGGAATATTAGGTAGCATTCACAAAAGCCTAGATCTGTAACTGTGAAATTAGTCAAATTCCATTAAAAATTTTTATTACGGTAAACTGTTTGTAAGATCTGACAAGTGGATTATTTTTAGTAGAATTTTGCATTAAAATTTTAACATAATACAATTTGCAACCAATTTGTCTAAATATGTGAAAAGATTTCATTGCCTTTTTGTGGGCTTAGATTTTTTTTTTCATGTTGATTTTGAAATATATTTGGAATTTTTATCTAAATTCTAAAACCTACAAGTGAAAATAATAATGAAAGTAAGTAGTAATATTAGTTGCAAGATCATTGCCAGTATCATTTCTATCAATTTATTTGAATAATGTGATTTTCATAAAAGTTAAGTATTGTTGTTAACAGGTTTATTACTTAGATGTTTCTGAGTTTCTAGACAGCAAAATAATTTTTTAAACTTTAAAAAAATTTTATTTTTGATAATCTATATTTATACTGTCTGATTTTTCAACTGTTTTTACATGGTATTCTTTAAATTGTATTCCTGCTTTCCTGAATAGGTAACAGTGAGCATGATGAAGTGTGACAAGCTCACTTTTACACACTGGGGCAGTTGCTCAGTAATCAGGCAGCCATTCCTGGGGGCTGCCAGCTGCCTGCCCTGGCTTTTCTGTCTCCTTCCTTGCTGTCTTCTGCTGCTATTTCTGAGGGCTCTTTTCACTGGATTAGCCTGTAACCCTTTCTCCTCTTCTAATTAATTTGCTGCTCTCAGGTGATAGTTTGGAAAGCAATAAAGCTGAGCTAGGTCAAGTTCTGGGAGTCTCTGGGCATGAGGACCTGAGAAACTCATCTGATGGAAGACCTTGGCTTCGGGCAGCTGGTGCACTATTGGGCCTTGTTTGCTGCATTCTGGCTCTCATCCGTCTTCCAAATACTCTGCATTCCTCAGAGGGGAACACATCTCCATGGGTTGAGTTCAGCTCCTGGGGAGATGGGTTTACCTGCCTTAAGTCTGCAAGTATCTTTTTTTTTTTTTCAAAGATGGAGTCTCCCTCTGTCACCCACGCTGGAGTGCAGTGGAGCCATCTCAGCTCACTGCAACACCACCTTGCAGGTTCAAGCGATTCTCCTGCCTCAGCCTCCCATGTTGGGATCACAGGTGCCTGTTGCTCTACCTGGCTAATTTTTATATTGTTGGTAGAGACGGGGTTTTGCCATGTTGGCCAAGCGGGTCTCAAACTCCTGACCTCAAGTGATCTGCCTGCCCAGGCCTCCCAAAGTGCTGGGATTAAAGGAGTGAACTACCACACTCAGCCTTCAAGTACCATTTATTTATTTATTTTATTTATTTAGAGACGGAGTCTTGCTGTGTTGCCCAGGCTGGAGTGCAGTGGCAGATTTCAGCTCCCTGCAGCCTCCTCCTCCCAGGTTCAAGTGATTGTCCTGCCTCAGCCTCCCAAGTAACTGGGACTACAGGTGCCCATGACCATACCCGGCTAATTTTTGTATTTTTAGTAGAGATGGGGTTTCACCATGTTGGCCAGGCTTGTCTTAAACTCCTGTCCTCAAGTGATCCTCCTGCCTTGGGCTCCCAAAGTGATGGGATTATAGGCGTAAGCCACTGCCCCCTGCGGCAAGTACCCTTTAAATATTAGAGAGACATTTAGTTGCTATCCTCAAACCCATTTGGGTGTGGAGAGAGTGCTGGGTCATGACATGCTTGTTAATTATCTAAAGATGTCAGCCATCAGTCATCGTGTGTTGTGCACACTGAAGCTATAATCCTTCATCTAGGACAGTATTTTTCAAAATGGAAAATTCTAGAACCCTGAGAATAAGGATTTCAGATCCAAATTTGAGACTTAGTCCTTTGAGTAAGTTTTTGACTTCAGGGAGTTAAAAGAAGATGCACATAGTTGATGAAGATTTAAAGGAGAAAATGAAAATCAGATATAATACAACACTCAAAGACATGTCATTTCTGACTTTTTTCTGGTGTTGTGTGTAAAAAAATTTTTTTTCCTATGAAACGATTATGAAGCTTTGTGATAGAATTATTGTTTGCCTTTCTAATATAATAGCATATTGAGGATTTTTAATTGTAATTTTTTTCTCCAAGATAAAAGCAATGATATTATATTGCCAAATAATTGAAGGATACAAGAAAAAAAAAAAATCCATCCTTTTGTTAGCCCATCACTGTTGTTGTAATACTATGTTACATGCAGTTTGCTTGATGGTCGCTCTGTTAAGCAGTGCTCTCTGGTGACATTCCTTTAGCTGTTAATTGGGGAGTGTAGAATGACAGAAGAGTGTTTCTCCTCAATGATATTTGAAGGATGCTTATTAACTTTCATATTGAAATGAGTTACATTTTATTAAATTTATAATGAGTTGATCCTAGGAAATAAAGCACTGTTATTTAAATCATTTTGGCTTTTAGTACTAAAGCATTTGACAATAAATTACTTATTCAAAATATAGAGTACCTTCTGAAAGCAATAAATGCATTTTAATGAATTGTAAGAACACAAGATTATTTTTTTTTAAATCCAGAAAGATACACTTCTGAGAAAATTGATTAAAACCAAACTTCTTCCTTAGGCACTGAAATCACATGTTTTCTTTGTTGCAGCTTCACTTAAAGAGAGGAAACTTCTTGGTGTTAAAAGCAAAGGAGCTGGGTCTCCCAGTGTGAGTGTGGGGGGTGAGGCTTCTGGGGCCTCCCTGGGTCACCTTTGCACTGAAGGACAACACATCTCACAGAGGCCTTGCCTCTTCATTTCAGTGGGACAGCTGCCATCGCTCCCATCATTGCTGATGTCAAGGCCGGGAAAAGCATCACTCATGAAGGAAGAGAGGTGAGACCACCTGGTGTTCTTGATGATTGAGCAGTTACGAGTAGGGTCTGGAGGAACATTGGGCAGAGTCACTATCTGGTGCAGGCCCCACAGACACCACTTCTGAAGGAAGAGAAACAGTTTGGATATCACTTAGCTAAGTGATAAAATGGACTCTTTTTTTTTTTTTTTTTTTGAGACAGAGTTTTACTGTTGTTGCCCAGGCTGGAGTGCGATGGTGTGGTCTCAGCTCACTGCAACCTCTACCTCCTGGGTTCAGGCAGTTCTCCTGCCTCAGCCTCCCAAGTAGCTGCGATTACAAGCATATACCACCACACTCGGCTAATTTTTTATATTTTTGGTAGAGATGGAGTTTCACCATGTTGGCCAGGCTGGTCTCGATCTCCTGACCTCAGGTGATCTGCCCACCTTGGCCTCCCAAAGTGCTGGGATTACAGGCATGAGCCACTGTGCTCGGCCACAATGGTCTCTTTTTGTCTATGCTTGTCGTGCACGTGAGCACGGCCGCATTTGAGCATTTTTGTAGATTGTCTATTTAGGATCCTGTTATCCTCCTCCTCAAAGGGTGCATGCTTTCCCTGGCACTTGAGCTCAGGACAGTGTCTAACAATAGACACCAGATGGATGGTCCTGGGGTTTGTGGCCCAGAGGAATGTTACTGTGTTCTTTGTCAAGATGTTTCCTCTGACTTCTAAGGACATGAGGACCAATGGCCACAGACTGCATAGAACCTTAACACACGCCTCATTTCCCAGCCAGTGTAGTCCTAAAGTGCCTCTGCCTGCCAGTTATCTATTTATACATATCAACAAAGAGAGCAGGTGGGTGCTGCTGGTGTTGTGTAAAGCTGGTTTTGTGCTTTGTGTACCTGTCAGCTCGCTGGATGGGTTATGTCACATTAGCAGTTGCCTTGAAGGCAGTTCAGTTTGGTGGCTGACCTGTGACCCCAGTGGGTGGCCTTATTTGATTTTGCAGATTTTGCCTGAAGAGCTGTGTACTCCTCCAGATCCTGGTGCTGCTTTTGTGGTGGTAGAATGTCCAGATGAAGGCTTCATTCAACCCATCTGTGAGAATGCCACCTTTCAGAGGTAATGAGGGTCTCTAGGGTGGGAAAAGTGAGAGCTGAAACCCAGCCCAGCACGACATGGGCATCTTGTGGCAAGAGCCCTGTTTCTGGCAAGGCCCACTGTCTAGGTTTCAAATTCAGAGGCCAGGACTTCTACCTTTGGGTCGGTCCTACTGTCAGGATTTAAGTCATTATTTGTAGTTGGTGGGCTCCTGTGTACACAGACTCAAAGTGAAATTAGAAAAGGTTGAAAACGGAAATCACTGAGGACTAGAAATTTCAACTGGAACTGTTACAGCTCTTACACTACAAGAAATTCTAGAACCCCCTTTTGAGCTCTGACTAATGGCGCAGATTATCATTTGGATTATTTTTAACTGAATTTGCTTCCATTACCTGCATTGAAACATCTGAGGTGGGTCAGAGTGTGAGACTGTCGTGGTTAAGACTGTGTTACGGGATGGAATCACAGCTGGGCAATGTCTTTGGGGCCAACTGCCACTCTGTTTTTGTGCTCCAAAAAAGAACCAGTTTTGCAGTTCAGCTTTCATCTCAGGTGGAATCTTTGACCCACATATCTGAGTTTGAGTCTTTTCTCCAACTCATGGTAGTTTACCTGTATTTTTCCTGTTCCTAGTTTGTGTCTGTCTGTTTTTTCACTTGTGTTTTCTACTTACCACAACAAATCCTTTTGAGCTGCTGATCCCATTCCGAGTCAAAGTGTTAGGAGTTCATTAATAGTCGGCTTTATTCTCTGTGGGTGAATGTGGGTGTCCTGGTAGCCCAGGCCTTGTATTTTAATCAAGTTTTGGGCAGCAGAGCTTCTTCAATGAATGAGGTGTCATCCGAGAGCCATGTGCGTCTGTGTGATGATGCTGGTGGTGGGATAGATAAAAATAGCCACTTATATTTCTTTTTAAAGGGAACTGGAGGGAAACGCATCAGCATGTTAGTAAGTGGTCCGTTGTCCAGGTGGTGGAATTTCAGACGATTTTCAGTTTTCATGCCTGTGTCACAGGTCCTCTGGAAAACAGACACCAAGGTGGCATTGGAGTGCAGGAGGTTCATTGGAGGAAATGCTGTGAGAGAGAAAGGAGAGTGGGAGTAGGAGGAGGCAGAGAGAGCCTGGGTCTGGCTTTGCAGATCGGACCCCTGTGAGTGGAGAGGACAGGAAGGAACGGCAGTCCTGAGAAAGGATCCGCCAGGCCGAATGGAAAGCCCAGAGCAGAGCTTGCCAGATAGAGGAGCCCCGTGTCCACTGGAAATGGCCCAGCACTGGGGCCTGCTGTGAGCAGCTCCGGAAGAGCATGGCCTGGGCGTGGAGGCTGTGGACTCACTGCAGTGCTGCAGAGGACCTGGTGGTACCTCTCCCTAGCTGCATGGTTCCTCTCTTGGTATGTCCTGAGTCTGTATCACTGTGTAAAGCCACATTCTTCCTTCTGTCCAGGTACCAAGGAAACGCAGATGCCCCCGTGGCCTTGGTGGTTCACCTGGCCCCAGAGTCTGTGCTTGTGGACAGCAGGTACCAGCAGTGGATGGAGAGGTATGGAGCCCAGCCCAGCAGCACATGGGGCAACTCTTTTGGGTAGTGGTGCCTTCCCTTCTCGCTCTTTCAAGCGCTAGTTACCCTCTGCACCTGCCTGAACTTTCTGTGGGATTCCTGCCTTCCCAGAATTCTAGGCACCCTGATCTGTGCCACACTTGTGAAAAAATGCACCGCTAGGTGGCGCAGCGTCCACACAGTTCCATTCATTCAATACCCTCCACACTCTTCAGCTTGTCTGAACAAATACTGCCCTTTGGTTGAGGATTCCACCAGCGAATCTCAAAGAAGAGACTGCAGATATAAAATGATTGCTTCTGTTTCCTGAAAGCCCACTTTGTGGCAGGCGGTGTGTTAAATACCTTGCGTTTCACTTCATTTCCTCTCGGGCGTCCGCCAGTAACCCTGGGAGGTAGACTATAGTCACTGGAAGGAGGGAGCTTTACTTTTTCCTCGGGGCATTGCTGGCCAAGGCCAGGTAGAAGAGTGTGAGTTCAGCTCGGGTGCAGGGTGACCATGGGCTGCTTTTCAGCCCCTGCTGTGTCTCTCCCACGTAACCCCAAGGCCCGCTCTCCTGCTGGCTCTTCTTTCATTCCTCAGGGTTTGAGTCCCCTATTTGTAAGCCCTGGACATCTTTCTTTTTCTTGTTTTTCCTCTCACTCTTCCCAGCACACCTGAAAGGCAGCTGAGATAGGGACCACCAGGCTTTGAGACTCCAGGAGTGTGACCATGTTTGGCCATGCAGTAACCCATTTTGGGCAAGTCACTGACCTCTTTGAACACTTCATCCCCATGACCACTCCTGAGCTCAGCACCACTCCTTGAGGAACTGCTTCCTAACATGCGCTGCAAATGCGGGGTCTCTTTCGTTGCAGGTTTGGGCCTGACACCCAGCACTTGGTCCTGAATGAAAACTGTTCATCAGTTCACTGCCTTCGCAGCCACAAGATCCAAACCCAGCTCAACCTCATCCACCCGGACATCTTCCCCCTGCTCACCAGTTTCCCCTGTAAGGTAGTGTCTCAGAACGGCCCCTTGTCGGCCCAGCTCTTGTCCCCTCTCTTTTTCTCCACGAATGTGTTTTCTCCCCTTTCAGGAGGAGAGCCTCGTCCTCAGTGTGCCCGTGGTTCGGGGTGAATGCCTCCTCAAGTACCAGCTCCGTCCCAGGAGGGAGTGGCAGAGGTCTGTGCCATCTTGAACTAATGGAATCCTCTCAGTCGGGTGGGGAAACATTTCTGTAAATAGCAACATAGTAAATGTTTCAGGAGGCTCTCCAGACCATATGGTCTCTGTTGCAACTATTCAGCCCCGCTTTGAGCACAAAAGAGACATGGACAGTAATCTAATGAATGGGCTTGGCTGTGTGCCAGTAGGAATTTATTTAGAAAAACAGCCTACTCCAGGCTGGATTGAGGTGGGAGGATTGGGGCCAGTAGTTCTCCTTTTCTAAAACAGTCCTGGAAACAGCACTGATAGAGCTCATTTGTTTCACAGTATAGAAAATAAGAAGCATATGATGAAGAAAGTCACCCATAATCCTGTCACCCAGAGACGATGATTGTTAACATTTTGTGTTGCTTAATTTGTATATGTGGGTTTACGGCCTGACGTCGTCAGTCTTTTCCCGTGTCACTAAATAGTCTTAAGTGACAAGATTTTTATTGGTATTCCAAATAGGGATGTTTACTCATTTGGGGTGTTGCCAATTTTTTGCTGTTTTAATAAAACAGTAAATGTCCTATATATAAATCTTGGATGGGAACTCTGTTCCCTTAAAGTCCCTCCTAAATGTGAGATTACTGGCCCAGAGTGTGATACTTCTTAAGGTACATGACAAATGCAAAATGCCATTTTGAAACCCTTACCGGTACACTCCAACCAGGAATAGCCTTACTTCCCCACGTCTTTATTTATTTTTTTTTGAGATGGAGTTTTGCTCTTGTTGCCCAGGCTGGAGTGCAGTGGCACGATCTCAGCTCACTGCAACCTCCGCCTCCCGAGTTCAAGCCATTCTCCTGCCTCAGCCTCCTGAGTATCTGGGATTACAGGCATGCGCCACCGTGCCTGGCTAATTTTTTTGTATTTTTAGCAGAAACAGGGTGACACCAGGTTGGCTAGGTGGTTCTTGAACTCCTGACCTCAGTTGATCCACCCACCTCAGCCTCCTAAAGTGCTGGGATTACAGGCGTGAGCCACTGTGCCCGGCCACTTTTAATTTTTAAGATCTGAACCTTGATTTTAAGTTTCCTGTCCACTCCACAGTGTTTGTATTAGTAGAGACCATGTGTTGGATTATGACTGGACGCTGTGTGCTGTTGTGGTTGGGCAGGTGGGGCCCTTTAAGAGACTTTAGTCACAAGACTCTGGCCCACAGGCAGCATCACGGGGTTGAAGAACCTGGTGTCCCTTTGCTGGCATCTGTACAGGCTCTTCACACTCAGCAGCGATTCACAGTCCTAGCCGACATTCAGACTTACCTTACGCTTGTGAAAAGTACTGTGTAGGGCCTGCCCCAGACTTAGTGAATTATATTCTTTAGAGTTAGTCTTGGGACTCACAAGCTCCCAGATGATTTTAATGATCAGCCAGGTTGAAGAGCCACCTGTCCAAGGAGTTGTCACTCTGGGTGACCTGGAGCTTGCCAGGAAAGTGATATCTCAGGCCTCGCTGCAGAGCTACTGAATTGGGTTCTACATTTTGCCAGGGTTCCCAGGTATGCACGAGTTTGAGAGTCACTCCTCCAGGGCCCTGCTTCTCACCTGGGACCATTTACCCCTCAGCAGACATTTGGCAATGTCTGGAAGCATTTTTGGTTGTCACAGCCTAGGAGGTGGGAGGAGCTCAGAGGTGCTGCACCAGGACAGCAGCACTGGCCACAGAGAAAACCATCCTGCCCTGAGCATCAGTAATGCCCCTTTATCTGGCCATGAGACGGAGCGATGCAGCTTCCTAAGGACAGCGGAGCAGAACTGCCCTGGATCTGAGGCACTTGGCCTTCAGTGTTGATCTGAAAGAACTTCCAGCAGATTGTCCTTCTGAATTTATTCTGGACATCCACATTGGGCTCTGCTGAGGCCATACATCCCGTCATCACCTGAGATGCTTCTCTCCCTGCAGAGATGCCATTATTACTTGCAATCCTGAGGAATTCATAGCTGAGGCACTGCAGCTTCCCAACTTCAAGGAAACTGTGCAAGAGTACCGGAGGAGTGCACAGGACGGCCCAGCCCCAGCAGGTGAGGGGGGCCCAGGAGG